TTGACCGATTGATTGCTGGCGGTGCTGAACCACAGCTCGTTGGCGTACTCCATGCGAACGTGTTCGCGCCAGCACTCCGCCGCCGGCTGCTCGACCTGGGTCTCGATCATCATGAAGCCAAAGGCGCCCACGATGGCGTAGCCGACCACCAGTCCACCCACGCCGACTTGGGTGCACATGAAGGCCACCAGCTTCCGGCAGCAGTCTTTGACGCGCTCCCGCGGGTCGACGCCGGTCGACGTCGACGACGAGTCGCGGCTCTTCAGGGAAGATCTCATCGGGACGCTGCGCGGCATGCTTCGACGCGAACTACCAGGCCTGGCCGAGGCCGGAATCAGCGAAGGGACATTCACATGGAACACACTATCTTGGCTGACACTCGGCGGCTCTCGTCGTGTGCCGCTTTTCTATTTCTGGTCGGAACGCCCCGGCCGTCTCTCTCATTTCTTCCTGCGGGATTCCTCTGCCTCTCTTCGTCTTCTCTTTTGTCGAGTAGTATAGGCTGCTACGTCTGTTACGCAGATTATTCCACTCTTGCGGATCACGTGCACGAGAAAGTCACTGCAGCGACTTCTGTATCTGTTGTTGCTAGTAGACAATAAACTGCAAACTCGAAGTTTGCTGACCATTGATTTCTTCGGTTTATCACTGCACAAATCACTGCGGTAACTGACTCGCGATTAAAATAAATTCAATCAAACTTTCCGAGAGAATTACGTACTTGCAAATTTTACGTTTTTAAGAATCGTAAATGTCAGATGTTTAAAATTGCATAAAAGATGCTAAGTGATATTAAAATACTTTCAAATTATGTATAATGCGATCTTACATGGTCAGTGAATTGAAAAATTACTTCATTAACTAGATGATCTATTCTAATTCGCTTCCGGATGAGACTTCCTTTTTTCACAACTACTCGTTTAGCGGAGAGACATCTGGCTTCTCTATGAAGCGATTATCTGCAAACTGACTCCGTGTCGAGTTTACTATTTTTACCGGCACATATCTCTCTCTCTCTCTCTCTCTCTCTCTCTCTCTCTCTTTCTCTACGAGAACGATGTCCACTAAATTCGCGAGAATGCGTGTGTGTGGAACTTGAAATAGTTACACACGACAGTGACTACTGCCAAACATTTCGCAATACGAGGTCAATAAAAAGATTTCTTTAATCATGAAAGAAAATACATTACAAAGTAATACAATAGAATTTGTATTATAAAAGATATTATTTTTTATGCATATTTTATTGCAAAGTCTCTGTTATATGATTTATAGATAAGTTTGCTCGTTTCTCTTTACTTTTAGCGGTGGAGAATTAGTTTGATACATTTAGAAGAATGAAAGAATATGGATGGCGAAAAGTTATTGGTGAACTTTAATCGTGTTGCAACTTTTCAAAAAATTTAATTTTTTCGGACGTCTCAGCTCTTGTTCGTGACCTTCTTCAACGTAAGATAAGGATAATTAATGTATAATAATTGATAATTAATTGCTCTGTCTACAATCCTGTGTCTGAGACACGCTTAAACAGGCTGAACATTCGGTCACGAATGTTATGTAATTTATTTCAAATAATGCTGATTATGAAATATTATAAAAATAAAATTGATTAAAGAACAACGGAGTGTGAAAGTGGCTATATGTGTGAGGTGTCATTCTTGTCATCATTCCAAACAGCATGACGCGTATATTGAAACTTGAAGGGGAGATAGAAAGGATCGTGTGACATAATTCATCATCGTGAAAAAGGGAGAGTCCCCCCCTTTGTTGAATTATTTTATCTTTGCAAAATTATGCACGGGAACATGCATATTGTAAATTTAATATTGCTTTACGCACGCTTGCTTTGACTTTAATAGGTGCATGTTTAGACTTACGTAAACTTATTGAGACACATTTTAATGTTCACACAAGAATGTCCATGATTAATGTCATTTATATTCCGAAAATAAACGAGGTATTTCATGGAAAAGCGGTGCACATATCTTGGCACCGGTCTTACAGTCTTTGTCAAAACTATTGCTCGTTTCCAGTAAATCATAATTTAATTAACGTTTATAACTTGAAGAAAACAGTAACTATATGTTTTATTAATAATAATCTTTTATTAGCTGTTATAATTTAATAGAAAATATGTTTATAGAGTTTTTATAATTTGGAGTACTTTGTTACAGACTCTGCAATCTGCTTCGTGCTTTTAGCAGCAGCTGCTAATATTCTAATAAATATTCTTAAGAGTGTATTAAAAGAGCACCTTTTGATTGCGATAAGTTTTAATAGCTCTATAATGTATTTCATGCATTAGAAATGACGTAAAATAGAGCAAATGTGTCACAAGAGGCCTAATTTTATGCGTGTATGCTTAAAGCCTCTAAAAATATCCAAACTCATTGGTAATTTAAACTCCTGAGGCATATTTGAAAACTGCCTTATTATTTAATAACATTTTATTTCAAATTTTATTTAGAATTGTTTCTTTGTACCTTTAAACAAATTTAATCGAATTTTTGCAAACTTAAAATAGAACGAAATAAAGAAGCTTTAGAATAAATCTTCGACACATTTCAGACACATTTCTTAAACCCAATTATTCCCAATTTCTTGTTTTTTTTTTATTCTTCTTTATTATTTCTGTTGCCATTTTTTTCATTTTTCGCGAGGAGAATACTAAATTTGCGAGAAATTTGTTAAAACGCATGCGCAACTGATCAATCAATTTTGTGGTACCGAAATCGACTGATTGTTGCAGAGTGCAGTTTCGTGGGAGTTCAATATTGCTTACGCGGGGGGTTGCATACTTTACGTTCTCGATGAATGTGCCAGGTAGATCAGTCGCACAACGATCGTCGTCCATGACGTGTCTCGACAAAATAATAAGTGCATCATCACATGTGAAAATGGGTCCTCTATTAATTATCACACTGACGTTTTTCATAGGTAAAATATCTTGCGATTTTTCGTAAAATTCTTCTTTCATAAAGCTGTAGAACAGTTTCAAAACATTTTTTATTTTAAGTGCATACGTTAGTGTGCAATGTTTCGATTATTGAACGTAAAGAAAAGAAGAGTAGAACATAGTAAACGGATAAAATCAAATAACTGCTTATTCTCGCAACAAAAAAAAAGATAGAACAATTAATATAAGATATAAGAATTAATACATGTATTAAGCTTACTCGAAAGTAGCACAGCATCTTGTTTAAAATATATAAAATATATAAAAAAAGAATTTTAGTTCATCATTTTTTTCATAACTTGTACAATTTATTTTAAGTTTAAAAAAACTTATTGTAAAATTTATTATAAATTTAGAAGACTTGATCTCACTGCGATAGTGACAAGAACTTGCTCACAGTATAAATTTCTTTTTTATATTTTACTTCAAAATATTTTTGGAATAAATATATGTCAGACTCACTTCATTAATAGTTTTATTATATATTTCTCTTGGCGTATAGTTAGAACTTGTATATACTTATGTGTGTACTTGTGGATACTTATGTATGACTGTAATGTGTGATTATTTATTTTGAGCAAACGTAAGATGCACTTAACAATGGTGTGCTACTTAAATATTTGCCTGCAAGTTGAATACTTCAGTTGATTGGTTGATGAACGCATAAACCGTCCGTCTAATTTAAGATTTGGACCGTGTTTTGTTCGCGAATTTAATTTTACTCCCATGATCGCTCCAGTTTGTGTGCGATGACGTCGATGCTTCAAGTCGAGAACAATAAGATGCTATTTTACTTCTTTCTTGCTTTATAAAAATTATCAAAAAATTGAACTTTTAAATAATTTATTTGTTCTAAGCAACCAAGATGACCATCAGATTCTTTAGAAGATCTTTTTTAACTGCATTTTTTGCACATCTTATACGAAAAAGTATATGCGGCTGAAAAGAATAGCTAAAATATTTTATGGTTTTATTATTTTTGCGAGAGAGAGTATTTCTACACTAAAAATTTATTGTATATTTTTTCTTTCTCATTAAAAAAGAAAACAAAAAATATAAAATAAATTTTCAAAAATACTTTAAAGATTTTTTTAATAAATCATCATATCGATTATATAATAATTGATGTATTCAGTCAGCGTTAAACTTCTTTACTACTTACATTTTTTCAAATCTTATAGTATTAATTTATATAAATGCATAGATTATTGCGCTCAGTTTTTAGGAGCTCGAAAACGCTTATCATTACATTTACCTTATAATGCGCTAGTAATCAGATGGCCAGTCAATGTGAGCTTGCATCATGTATTGCGATCACGATGCACTGCACATGCCGATGTGCACGTTAAATCTCACGCGATAGCTCCTCGTGTAATCTCGGGGTTATCCAGTTAGATTTACGTCGCGTTCATCAGTCGTACACTCGTCGTCATCGCGCTCGTGTGTCACCCATCCCGATCGTTCCAGGTGGCTCCCCGCGATGCGTCTCTTCTACTTAATCGCTCTTCTAGGTAAGAGCTCTTCTTCTGCTCGATTGATTCGCTCGATAGCTCATTTTCGTCGTGATTATTCTTTGCCTGCCGAATTATCCAGGAAAAATATCGACATGAGAAAATTATTGGAAAAAGAGCATATCTTTCTTTAGTTTTTTTTATTAATTAGTTGTTTTAATTTAGCGCTTTTGAGATATTATAGTTTAAAATGTATTTAAGTTTATCTTTTTTTCTATCATAACTTTCTGTGACTTTGTGCAAATGTTGGCTATCATCTTATATAACATGTAAAAAAGGGTGCATCTCTTTTTCCACTAATTTGTTTAAATTTATTGATATCCTTTTTTACGATTACTTATTCAAAATATTTACCCATTCACGTAACGTGATTGATATTGAACGTTACTATCTTAGATAGTTTCAAAATAATTTTATATTTATTCCCTTTTTTTAAATTTACTTTTGTAGAGTAAATGTGCAATTATCTATTTAAACTTGCATTAGTGTTTCGTATATTTCTTCAAATTTACAGTTTCGTAAAATATTGTTTTTTTATCAATAATTTGTCTTAGCCGCAAAAATATTAAAAACAGTAGCATATGTGAATTTTTTCATCAAACAAGTTCAAACTTTAATAAATGAATTGTGTACGAAAAAACATATATAATCATGAGAGAATGTTTAAAAAACTTTTGGTATTCAAATAGTATTACATTATTCAAAAGTTAAACCATTTTATTTCCAAATTTTTAGTAACATTGCCGCAAAAATAAAGGAAACAAATATCATTTAACCGCAAAAATAATAACAGTGATTGAATTGTATAACAAAGTTATCACATTGTGCGAGAGAAATGTTCAGAATCGGAGAGCGAGCGTTGATATATCGATAGGATCGACCTACCTTAAGCATCCTTAACTATGGACGAAACTCGCATGCTGATGTCGACCGTGTACTATCCCTGCACAGCGGAAGCGTACATTATGCTCATTAAAACCTGCGGGTCGTTTGAGTGATTCGGCCGTTGTCACGGCCGGTCTTGATCTAGAAAGCGCCGGCGTTTATCCGCCGATTGTGATCCAATTGCCGCGCGGATGGCTTTCAGCAAAACGATTTTTGCTCTAAGCCGTCGCATTTTCTCGGCCACGACGAGAATAGGGTTAAGAATAAGTGCGAACAAATTCACCGCGGCTCGAGCGGTCAATGAGGTCAATTCTGTTTCCTGTCGTGCGCGTTCAATTACTTATCGGACCCAATGGGCCGAACGCAGCCGCGATATAGCGAGTCGTTCGCGTGGCAGCAACGTGGCAATAATTATTTTATTGACCGTTCGTGCGAATTCTCCAAATTGATACCGCGGGGACGAGGTCAGCGCCGGCTTTAGAATGTGATTATTATAGTACACACGTTTCTCATTGGTGATTATTATATAGTACATATATGATTTCATTCAAACACATTTGTATCTAAAGTTAAAATTGAACAAACGGATTGAAGCAAATTAGATTGATCATAACAAAATATACTCTTAGCTATAGAGCTATAGAGATCAGTAACAAGAATAAATCACTTTATTATGTAGTTAGTCAATTTATGATATTAGTTTTAATGATATAAAGATAACTACAGTATTTATACTAAAACTATTCAAAGACTATTCAAATTAATATTAATATTAACATTCCTTAAACAACTTTTTTACTTTGATTAATAATAATTGTTTTAATTTTAACTTATAATTTTACTTTTTAAATTTAAATTTACAATGATATAAATACAATTATTTTTATAAGAATTTAAAGTTTTATCCTTAAAAATATTTGGAAAATTTTTAAAAACTATTGAAAAAGAGAATGTGTGTTAAAATAAAATTAAAAAATCAAATTCTTTGTCAAATTTGAGCATTATTTTCTTTTAAAATACTGTATAAAATTCACTGTATAATATAAAAATTGTTACGTAAATATTTTAAGTCAATTGTAGGCAAGATCAGTTTGTCACATTATTGTGACTGTTCGTATTGAATAGTCTAGAATTGGCTAATAAACGTGTGATTGTTTACACTAGCCTTTGTGCTAAATTCTTTAAAAAAATTTTTTTAAATTTAACTATAATCATTTAAAAGCAAAAATTTTTTTAATTACAAAAAAACAAACAACTAATTTTGCATACGTTGTTTTAGGTTTACAAACATCGGAAGCATCTGAATGGGGATATACGGGCAAAAATGGTAATTATGTTAATTACGACATATATACATACATATATATAAATGAAATAATAATTAGCGTTTTATAATTATCCAGAATATAGTATCTAAAGTTTGACAACATAAAACACTTTAAAAAATGTATCATGTTTTCTTTAAATCTGTTTTAAGAGATATCATAATCTTCACATAGATAACATAAATTTTATTGTCAATATTGATTTATTCGATTTAAGAAAATAATGATATATTTACACATTATCTTCTTATTTCGTCACACAAGAGATTTATTAGAAACATTGGGAACATATTATAACTTAATATTCTTTTATCTTAATATCGCCATATGTCTTTCAAGAATAAATAAAAAAGATACAAGTACCAATAAAGAAAATTGATTTATGAAGCTAGAATCATGAAATTTTTATCGTGATTTTACGCAATGCTTCGATTTCGGTGGGGAATTTTATTAGCGATAAGTGTACATACATGATAAATATACTTTCTTCAATTAGCTTATATGAAATTTATATACAAGTTGTTAACAATTTAATAACAGCAACGTTAATTGTCAATTTAAGATATTTAAAGATTAAAATATATCAATATGTTTCATATATTAAATAAAAAAGTTTAATTATTAAGTAAAATTATATTATTTGTTCGATATTCTATAAAACAAACAAAAAATTGAAATAAGTTTTTTAAAAAATCTTGTACACTTATAGTTCAATATAATTTCAACAAACATTTATTGTTAAATATGCTAAAATGTTAAAAAAAAAATTTTTTTAAAACAATGTAGAGAAGTATTCGTAATTTAAAGTAAAGTAATTTATAATTTAATTAAAAAATATATTTAAAGGCCCAATAATTTAACACAAAAAGATTAATGAGAAACAAAACAGCCAGTGCTAGATGGTCGTGCCTGTGTATCATACAATCATGTGATAACAACGTTTCGTACATTAACATTACATCTACGATTATTTTGATGTTGAAGAAGGCCTGAAAAAGGCCTGATATATGTGTAGGTCGAAACGCGTTGTTATCATATGTTTGTATAATACCGGCGGCGGCGGCGATCCGGCGACAGGATCTCGAGTGCCAGATCCGATGCCGGTATTAGTCCCCTGATTTTCTTCCAAGAACGCGTCCGGATAAAATATCTCGGCGACCAATAGACTCGTCCATCTCGGCGACGATAAGCATCCACAGGCACGACCATCTAGCACTGGTTGTTTTGCTTCTCATTAACCTTTTTGTAAAGTAAATTATATTAACCTTGAATATATCTCTCTCTGTGTGGTAGTATTTTAAAATATAAATGTTAATATTTATCACATTTTGTTATAACTTGGACTTAAAAATCTATAGTTTATAAATATTGCCATAGGACCGGAAAACTGGCCAGGAATATGTACGACAGGAAAGAAACAATCGCCAATCGATATCGTGACAGAAGATGCCATAAGGGTTGATCTTGGTGCTTTAAAGTTTAATCGATACGACTTTGCATTTCATGGCATATTAATTAACAATGGACATTCTGGTAAGAAAAATCATAAATATAATATATTATGTTTTAATATTTTTAGACTTGCAAATAAACATTTTTTTACTATATTTGTAATTTTTAAAGCCGCTTATTTAATTATTATTATTATTTATTGCAAACGTAATGTGTTTTATTTATATTTCAAATTTCTATGTATAATCCGACTTTTATAAATTTTATGTTTAAACAGTTATACTTTGTGCCAAAATTCGTTAGCATTAAAGGAATTTGCACTTACTAACTGTATTAGTTCAGTAAAATTCATGTTTGTAAAGTTAAGTAAAAGAAACTGCGTATTGCACATAGAAAACAAGTTTTAATAAAAAACTTGGTACTAAAAAAAGTTTCGTCATAGTTAGAAATAGATATATTACTAAAAATGAATTAAAGTCACCGGCTTATCGCCGTCAACGTTTTAGCGTATTTTTTAATAAATCATTTTTCTAGTGGAAATTCAATTGGAAGGCGTGCCGATTGTCCTCAGCGGCGGAAATTTGTCATCGACATATGTTCTGAAGCAAATGCATTTTCACTGGAGCGCTGAGCATACCGTGGATGGTGTACGGCATCCATTGGAGCTGCATTTAGTGCATTATGACAAGAAATACGGAAATTTCAGTGTAGCAGCGCAAAATGAAAACGGACTTGCCGTGGTCGCAGTCCTGTTTGAGGTAGTAACAGTGCTTATATTTTTTTTTGTATAGATAATTTTTCTATATGGTAAACATGATTGATATTTTGTTCTAGTTGAGTAAAAATGATAATAAAGATCTGATGCCGATCTTGGAGGCAACGAAAATGGTGTCGCGTAGGATGGGGAGGAGCATAGCACCAATAAGAAACAAAATAATACCTTTACTGTTTCTACCAAAGGATCATACGACATATTACAATTACCAAGGATCCTTAACCACGCCGGGATGCGCTGAGTCCGTGATATGGTTTGTGATGACTGAGAAACTCTTCGTGTCGGAAGCGCAGGTGATTCAATATTTTACTAGTAACTCGAATAAAATCACTCTCAAATGCATATTACAGTAAAAATAACAATTTGATACAGTATTGTATAAAATTATGTAGAGTGTGCCATTTTTTATGAGCATCCAGTTTTTTTTAATGGTTAATTATGCAATTAAAAATTTTGTTCCAATATTTATATTTTATTATTCGTATTTGCATACAGGTAAATGTATTCAAACGCGTGAGGAACGGCAACGAAACGCTGACGTTTAATTATAGGCCTGTTCAGGACCTCGGCCTTCGAAAAGTATATCATCGTCTGGAAGGATACAGCAGCTCGTCGTCGGTCACTTCGAAAACGATCGGCACTCTTCTTAGTGTTTTTTCCGTTAGTCTTTTACACGAGAACTTTTAATTTTGAAGGATTAAGCGCCCAGCTAAACTTTGTGTTACAATATGTAACGCAATGTGGCTACGTGATATTATTTGTTGCATTGTTTCGAGAAACAAACGTGTATTTATTGCGATAAATTCCGAACGAATTTAACCGCATTATTTATAAAATAATGTTTTACATTAACATTGGGAACTTTGGAACTATTATTAACATTAATATATAAGAAAATAAAGCTTGTTGAAGTTTAGAACGTTCCTTTTTTGGAAATGATTTGTTCCATTTCTCCTCTTGCATAGAGAAACTACTAAATGCCATAAAAAAAATATATATATAAAATAGATCGATTCGATACAACCTGAGAAAAACATTTTTATACTCAAAAAAATCTCCCTTTCAGATCACTTAAGACATTCTTACTATACTAAAAATGATTTGTTATATTTTACTACTTTTGCACAGAAAAAGATCTACACATGAAATACAAAAGACACCGATTCAATACATCCTGCGGAAGAGATCCTTATACTCTAAAAATTACCCTAATTTACTGAATAAATTCTTCCTTCGCCAAAAATGGGGTTTTGTAAATAATGAAGAAGATAACTTTTTCTCAGCAATATTAAATAGATGCTTGTAATAGTAAAAAATATATAATTAGCTTTTTAAATATTGTTGATATAATGGATTTGAATTTTTTACTGTTAAAAATGTTTAAATTACCTGTTAAAAATGTTTAATAATCTGTGCACTCATAAATTCTTTTTATATTAATATTTTACAATGTAACACACGTTACGACATATGGCTGTTTAATATGTATTACATATTTCTAAACATTCAAGTAAGAATTAATATTAAAAATAATTTAATATTATTAATGAAATGTCATTAATGTGAGAGCACATGCCAAAGCAAATAAAACGTGTTTTTATGATAAGTTTGTAATTAATAATTTTATAAAATCAATAAATTCTTATTTAAGTATAGTAACGTGCAAGCATACATGCATATAATGGAATCAAAATTTTTATTTAAAATTACTATTTCTTATAAATTATTAGGTAAAAAAAACTTACTATAAAAGTCAGAAATTAATAATATAGGAATTATTAAATGATTCATGATTAAAGTTGCTAGAGAAAATGAATAGAAGTAAAAGCTCGTTATGTTAGAACAAATGACATGTAAAAAGACTAATATGAGCTAAATTGTAGTTTGTAATTACAGTTTCTCTTCTGTGTACTATATATAAAAATTGTTAAATTTAGATCCTTAATGTTGATCCTCTTTAGTTGAATAATTTAACAGTAAGTTTTTTAGGATAATTTCAGCGACCAAAAGCAATTCTTTCCGCAATGACAATAGCTTATTCAAATTTCAGTCTTTTATAAGATTGCTCGATGAAACAGTTTCCTAAGTGCTCATTCGAGCTGATATTCAGCTCATTCGAGCTGATATAAGTTTGTGGGACGATCTCAATAAAAAAAGATCAAATTTATATTTCAATATTATAATTAACTGTTTTTAACATATGAACTGACGTTAACTTGTAATACGCTGAGTGATAATTATTTCAGAATTTCAATTAAGTTTTGACTGCACCAATTTTAATATTTCTATTATAAGTCTTAATCGACGATTATACACACACATTATCCTAATAGATTCGAATTGTTCAGCTAAAGATAATTCGATTTGTGAGTCGTAATGTACTGTAACTATCATGAACAATAAGGAGAAATTGTAAACAAATATGTCTAGCTATTTGGCAACAATATTAGCCTTTGTTCTTACCATTTTATCCCAAAATGCAATGTAATATTTTGTCAGCACGTCTGTATTCGTCTCTCGCCCATCGTAGACTAAGTCATAAATGTATTCCAATCGCCAATACGCATGACAACGTCCAGTGCAATTGCTCCTCTGAATTTTACGATTCTGCAAGGGAGCGCCATAAGATAATTACCGCCTCACAATGCGAGGTTAGTACAAAGAATTTGATGTTCACGTTAATAAAAGGAATGTAAAATATAGTGCGCATTTAATAAATTGTAGCTCAGCATTGCGAATTCATTAATAAACTTCTATGCTTCTTTGTTACAATAAACACAAAACCCAAAACCATAATTTCCATTTCGAGACATGCCACATTATTTTCAATATATTTACACCGTGATCGCAGGACAAACATGAACATTGAATGCAGAAAGAGTAATGTCATCGCTCGTCGCATATCAATTGCGCATAATATATTGATAAAAGCCGGAAAAGGAACAAAGCTGTAAGAAGAATAACAAATTGCTAAAAGTCACATTTTCATCATACAAAGGGAACAGCGTTTGCTTCGGCGCAATATAGAAAATGAATTAATACAAACACAATACTTTAAAAGCTTCAAGTCTCATACGCTGCATCTGCGGATCAAATATTTCTGTGCCACGAACGATCGGCATAAGAGACATGAATTTTCAAAACGTCAATTCTTTAAACAATCACGCAAATTTGCTCTCGGGAAATTTGTTGCCCATCGGTATCGAACAGTTTTCAATACCATGGCTGATATACTACGTTATTGTCATGTTGATCGAAGTGATTCACACGATCGCATTTGTCCTCGGACTCATCTTAGCGCCGAGTGAAAAGGCCCTGCAGGATGGTACTGTATGCGCCGTGATCACCCTGGAAACGTTTTTCATGCTTTCACGCCTTTACACACGCAAGACTCTGTTGGAGCAAGTGGTTCTGCAAATGAACAATATCATGCAAGACGCGGATGAGACCATGAAGAACATCGTCAAGTCAGCTCTGAAACCGATAACAAAGCCGTTCCTGATATATGGGGTGGTGAACGCGATATCCGTCGCCATATGGACCGTGCAACCGGTTGCTTTGGCTTTCGAAAAGAGCACTTTCTTTATGTAGATTACAATTTACCAGCCGTGTTCAGCACAGAGCCGTTCTCGGTCAGCGTTCTGATCCCGTCGACCATCATTATGACGATTGGTAGCGTATACCTGTTTCTGAAGAAATTCAGCGTGGACATATATATGATGCACCTGGTACTGCTGCTGACAGCGCAGTATCGATACACGTCGGTGAAGCTCACAATGTTATTCCAGGATCCTCAGAACAGCAGCGACGCATTTCCAAAAAGACGATATCCTATTTCAAATCAGTGGGTACAGAGAGAGTTAAGAGCGTTATGTCGTCATCAAAACAGTGTTTTGCGGTAAACACAATGCAATTGATGATATAAATATTGAATAATACAATAGACAGACACTTTTTTATTATTGCAATACTCGAATTAGTGACTTGTATTTAAATTACCATTTTTCCAAAAAATTTAATGTAACGAAAAATAATGTTTTTTTCTATGATATTAAATCTTGCGATCTCTTGTACAATTTTTCTTTAACTTTAATGTTTAAACAGAGTAATAGTTTATTGTTCTATATGATTCAGATTTTAGCATTTTACATATTTTATTCTACTGTGTTTCAGTATATCAGTTATGTTAAGGAAACTCTTGTCCGTGAATTTCAGTCTGCTTTATATCAACAACATTTTTCGATTCTGCTTTATAGGTATTCTGATGACTGCAGTAAGTAATTATTAATTTTAATTAGTAAAATATTAAAGTCTAGATGCTTATTTTACGCAATTATTAACAAAAAAGTTATTAGTGATGCATCTAATGTAACTTTTTTCAATTTTTTCGATATTTAATTTAATATTAAAATAAACCGATCTTAAATAATAATTTAATTAAATCTGCACATACAAAAACTATTCTCAATTGCAATGTAAAAAAATGTTAATTGTATTTTTACACATTTTTTCAATTTTCTAATCAATTTTGAATTTTTAGATACCATATCTGACTTTCATGGAAGGAATTTCGATTTTTTTGTTCGCAATTGGTTCAATGACACAATTTTTTCTATTGTGTTTTTCGGTACAAACATTATCAGACGCGGTAAGATTTGTTAATGATTTATACTACTCAAATTTTATAAGCGGGGTTATTAATATTAAAGAATGCTAATTTATTCAGTTTTATACTACTTAAATTTCTGTCAATTATTCATTTGTTTTTTTAAAAAATGTTATACAAAAATATAAAATAAGATTTAACCGTAGAAGAGAAAAAGATACTTTGCACACAACTATTTATAAATATTACAATGAGACATAAAATGAGACATGATTGCAAATATCAGAAAATTAACGAATAATTAATAATTGCCTATTCTAATATATTATTTTTTGTGACAAATGTAGAGTACGAAAATAACGGATACGGCGTTTGATGAAGGCTGGTATCAATTTGAACCATTGATAAAACGCACATTTCTGTTGCTTATTATGGCTAATAATCTAGAGTGTAAAATTGCAGCAGTTGACAAGTTCAATCTGTCTTTGCCCTCATTTATGACGGTAAAATTTTACATAGTAATTTTATCACTTAAAATTCTATTATAAAACAATTAACACTTTAAGTTTCTGATATTTTTTAATAATGTTTTAGATCATGAATCAATCATATTCAATTGCTCTTTTGTTTTTAAGAGCAAAATAAATTGGAAATGTTGCAAGTTTAAATCAATATAAAATAAAGAATGTTCATCAAAAGAAAAGTTGAGAAAAATAATTTAAAAAACTAGCTTGTAAATTTCTTTTATACTGTAACTCAAAAAATATAAAAACAACCACAATGTACTAACATATTGAAACCGTGATAACTTTGGTAATAAAGTCAATCTTTTTTATTAATTATTTTTTAAAGTATAAATATAAAAATAAAATAATTAATAAACTTAATAATAATTTGCTTGTAATATTTGTAAAACTTATTTTATTAATGGGAATATCTTAGCACATATAATTAAAATATATATTAAAAAATATATTTGTTTTTGCAATATTATTGGAATCATAAAGTTTTTATCACCACTTTTTTATAAATTTTCTAAATGTTATTTCCAAATTTTTTTACTAGACTTTTTTGTATAGAGAATTTATTTTTTTAAATAGTAACGATTAAATGTGCTATTTGGTGTTAGTTCGCAAATCAACATGTTTTATGTCACTGTAAAACAATATGTTTGATGTCAAATTAATTTCTGGTAAGTTAATCTTCAAATACTTTCGAGATGTGCTTTTCTTTCGAATTTGCAACTCTGCGACAAACAGTGAAATACTGTAAAATAATTATGCTGCTTCAAAGAGCAAACGTAATTACAGGGGAGTTCTATAGCTCTATTCATCTTTATAATAAATGAAATAAAGATCGCATGCTTTAAAACTGCTATATTATTACAAAAGTTATTCATAAATTTCTCTATTTCCTTGAAAGAAGAACGAGAAAACGTTTCTAAATCCTCATTTATCTAGAATCTCGTTGTCAATAGCGATAATTTAGCATGCGCCTATATCATAGGACATACATACATTACCCATTGTGAAAGCCATTATTTGTCACATGAAAGCATATGATATATTTATATACTCCATACAAAGAAATAGAAATTTAAGAGAATAATAAATTACTGCAAGTTGATAGTCAGCAAGCGAATTTTATATTATGGTAGAGAGTCGCACACCTACTGTTATCTTTCTGCTTAATCAAGAATGTGTACAATATGATAGAAACGTTAAATGGAGGTGAATACAGACAGATCTTTACACGTTAATATTAAAAGTATCTATTTATTTCAACAGTTAAAAGAGTCTATATTGATGATAGCTGTGGTTAATTAAATTTTCTTTCAGTTTATTGTTAGAGAGAACTTAGTTCGAGGAAGGACGTCGCTAAATGCGCTAGACGCGTGCAGAGGAAACAGTATATAGCAAAACATTGTGAAAGCGAGATTTTTGCAATTTATATTTCGTATATATTTCCTGTTCACTAAGAAACAGGATACGCTGCAATATGGACTTCCAAAATGTAAATCCTTTGAACGTTCGGTTAAACTTGATCTCGGGCAATTTGTTACCGATGACGAGCGATAATACGCTGTTTCCTGTAGCGTGGAAGATATACAGCATTGTTTTATGGCTTGTTTTACTGCTTCAAACTGGTGCAACAATCCCCGCGTTTATGCTGGTGCCGAAAGACAAGAGTCTGCGGAATCCCGGAACGATTAACATCGTGGTGTGCTTTGAAGTATTTGTTTTGCTTGCGCGCATGTACACGCACAGAGACCTAGTGCGTCAATTAATTCAAAAGTTGAATGATATTCTACGCTCGGCGGACGAGACCATGAAAAGTATCGTGCAATCGACCCTAAAGCCGCTGGAGACTCCGCTTGAGATTTATAGTATATTTGGAATCGCATCCGTAATGCTGTGGTGTGCTATGCCGCTTGCACTGCTGTTAAAAAGAAAGTATTTTTTCTACGACGATTTTGGACTACTAATAGCCTTTTCGAAACAGCCATTCTCGGGAAAAATTTTCCTGTTAGGCAACTTTATCGTAACTATTGCCTGCACGTACGTATTTACAAAAAAGGTTGCCCTGGATGTCTACATGATAAATCTCACGCTACTGATGACAGCGCAGTATCGCTACACCGGGATAAAGCTTGCAACAATATTTCGCAAAGACACTCCGCAGAATCAGCACAATAAATCTCAAAAAGAATATTATTCGAATTTAGATACATTGGCAGCGAGAGAGATAAATGCGTTATGTCGACATCATAGCGCCGTGATTCAGTAAGTAGTCGAGCGTTTGCTAACCGGGCAACTTTTATTTGCTACTCTTCTTAAATAAATTTTATAATTTTTTTCTGTTAGTTAATTAATACCTTATGCGTTTGTATTGTGCATTTCTTTTTAGAATGATGTTAATATTAAAGAAACTGTTATCTGCAAATATGAGTCTAATATATTTGATCAATGTTGTTCGTTTTTGCTTCCTTGACATCCTGATAATAGATGCAGTGAGTAATAATTGATAATATTAATTATTTTAAAAAATGTTTTTTGGATAATAGAAAATATAAAAGCTAATTAATATTTTCAAAATAACATATTACTAATGTATCAAATTTAGATATTATCGGCGGCTGTTGTGGAAGGATTCATGCTTCTCGCGTATATATGCGGCAACTTAGTGCAGTTCTATATTTTATGCTTCTGCGTTCAGCAATTATTAGATGCGGTGAGCTTTATTGAAATACATTATCATTATCATTTTGTTTCTTTTAATTTAATTATAATTTAATTTAAAAAAAATGTTTAAGTTACTGGAATCTTAAAAATCGTAAAATTACAATTAGTAATATTTAAATATTTTTTACTTCATATTATAATATTTTAATTATTATAATATTTATTATAATATTTTAATGTACATACAAGTTTCTCAGAATTAAAATTGCTCAAAATATCAGATAATAAGTAAATATTGTGTTAATAAATTGTAATTGTGTTAATAAATTGGTAAGTTGCTTGTGATTAATATTTGTTCTTTAATATATTATATCGTTCGGTGTCAAATTTAGAGTACAAAAATGACAAATGAAGCATTTAACGAAAAGTGGTACATGTTTGCATCATCACTGAAATATACGTTTATGTTGATGATAATAAGTGATAATTTAAAATGCGAACTTTCGACGTTTGGAAAATTTAATCTGTCTCTCCCTTCATTTATGACGGTAAAAATTCTCTACATCTCAATACTATTAATATAATTTAAATTTTCTTTTTTACATTTTTATACATTGTTTTAGATTTTGAATCAATCGTATTCGATCGCTCTTTTATTGTTAAGAGTAAAATAAAAATTAATTAGATAAGCATTTTCACAGTAAATATTGTACATACATATCTTACACATCCTAATAAATTATTACTAAACTTTAATAATCTTGTGGTTAATTAACTAATTTATATTAAGTTGTAATTTTTAGTAGAGAGTAGAGAGTATATAACATTAAAATTAGTAAAATATGTATGCATAAAAAAATGTTATTTATTCAATATTCTGATGTATACAGGGTGTTTTATAATGTCCGTGCCAACGCTCGTGTACGGATAGAGTGCGGTAAACTGAATAGAAAAGTCCTTTACCGTTTTGCAATTTTCGCAATAGTAATTGAGATATTTAAAAGGGATTGACGAATAATCGCGCGTTGATCGCGGCTAGATCGTAGGCTGTACGCTCTAGGCGTGACAGCAATGAGAATCGCATGGCAACGAAAAATAACAACGCATATCACTCCTGCTCTCGCTACGTGTTATTTTTCGTTGCCATGCAATCCTCGTTGTTGTTACGTTTAGAGTGTACAGCCCACGATCTAGCTACGCGCAACGCGCGATTATTCGTCAATCCCTTTTAATTAATATCTCAATTACTATTGCGAAAATTGCAAAACGGTAAAGAACTTTTCTATTCAGTTTACCGCACTCTATCCGTACACGAGCGTTGGCACGGACATTATGAAACACCCTGTATATCATCGAAGAAATACGAGGAAAAAAGGAAATTTCGACACAAATTGCAACATTGTTAAAACTTATCACTTTCCTCTGGCGGTTTTATAGAAATGTATTACTACATTTTACAAATTGTTGTTTCTTTAATTTATCAGCAAATTTCTCATTGGCGAGCAAGATGTAATAATAGAAGACTCACCTTAAATGCAATGTGTTACGATGGACAATAAAATCCACGCGATTCTTTCATAAAACATTGTTAGCACGCACTGCACTCATCTTTAACTCACCGTTCTCCGTCAAGTAAGACTCGCTACTAAATAGCATTTGACACTGGAATCCCTTAGCAACTTGTAGTTCTACAGTGCGCGCGCGCGATCGATGTATGGGGTACCATAAGATAATCGTCGCCGCATGAACTGCTAGAAGGAACTCGGCGATTCTACTTACCCCTATGATAAATAGAACAAGTATAGTCCCACATTCACTGTCTTCAGTTCTTGATATGGCGACATTTATTTATCGGTTCCATATTTCTTTGCAATAATGTGATGCTCTTTTAGGTCAAGAGTATATCCACAGATATGTCATATTCTTGACGATATTCAAATTCCAATACATCTGTATAATGATCGTGGAACAAAGATCGACAATTATAATAAAGGGAACAGAATGTCGCTATTTAATCATAAATGGTTAATGGCCAAATAAAAAAAGGGTCCAGAAAAAATGGTACTAAATATCATTGGGCATCGGCTAGCAATTTTGAAATACGAATATAAAATGAAGAAAAGAGTTTTAGATACTACAGTAAGTAACGAGCATTAATATTAATATTTCAAAAATGTTTAAGTAATTATTAGTAATTAAATAATTATTAACTCTGACACTCAAAAGATGCATCCTATGCATAGGCAAGCTAAAATATAATAGTATTCTGTAGATCATTTTTTACATTAAAAAAACTTGAACTATAGCAGCTGTAAAATTTATTATAAAATTAGAAACAATAATTAGACTTTTTTTCAATTTATTGTAAAATAAAATAACTTTACGTTTGTTAAATAATTTATAAAAATTAAATACACAAATAACACACAGAATACTGTATATAAAATAAACAGTAGGAGATAAATATGTATTTATATAATAAAATCATTAACAAAAATAAAATAATTGATCAAATAAAATATATGAAATAAATAAATTAAATTATTTCTCTTAAAAATACACTTTCTACGATAATTTCTCTGCGATATCTGACAGTGATAGAAAAGATTCTCTGTAATTAAGGTCTATGAGATAATTATCTGTTTATATAGCGCGCGATTAAAAAAATAGCGGCAATCCTACTTACTCCTGGTAAAAGAAATATGATAAACACAGTTTTTTATTCAAATACAACAGCAAAATTTAACTCTTTTCATATTAGTGCATATTTTGATAATATCAATTATATTAAGTAAAAATTCCGGAAAAATAATAAATTGCAAGAAATCCATGATTATTCGTCTCTAATTTCTAATTCTGTTAGATGAATCATAAGGCTGCTTCAATTAGAAATTCAAAGTGAATACTAATTAGCTGATAATAGGTGATCTTATTATCTAGCGTTAGCGGATAACAATAGCAGGTTCTTTCAATATTAAACGACGGAAGGGTTGCTTTTGTAAATAGAAAAAAGTGATGCGTTTGCGATATCATTATGAATTCTTATACTTGATTTCAAGTTGGTGACCTCTCACAGTGCTCAAGTATTTGATAATTTATACAGTTTAATGGTGACTCTGAACGGCTAATGTCTCTAAGCAAAATAAATAGTTTGCTATTGCCTTGCGAGAGAAAACAAGTATAGATTTTTATTGTTGTTGTAACGAGGTTCAAACTGGACGCCACTGGCGTGTTAAACGAAGAGGCCTATTCTGTAACTTTTAACGATATCGTATCATTGTGCAGCCGTTACATGATACAAAAAACCTGCGCAGTGATACATAACGACATCGTTAAAAGTTATAGAATAGGTGGCTATTAACATTAATCAACACTTCACGATCACTTTACACATGCAATATAGTATTAAAAAAAAAAATCTAAAGTAGAATAAACAAAAGGTTGTGTGATATCGATTGGTAGCATAAGGACGAACATGGACTTCTAAAGTGTAAATCCGTTAAATAAACAATCCGTCCTACTAAACAGGGTTTCGGGTAATCTATTACCGATAATCGATCGCGATTCGTCATATTCATTATTTTGGAAAACATACAGTGCTTTCATATAGTTAATCGAACTGATCATGTTGATAATGGCAACTTATGCGCGTATCAATTCGCCGATAGAATCGCATTTAAACAATATCTTGATCTTCTGCGTAATGTGCATGGAAATGTTGTTTGCGCTCATATGGATTTTGATATAATTTCATTATTAAAACAAATACTATCTTTGAACTTTAATTTATTATATGTGAGCAGCATGTTTTATTTCGGATTTATCGGTATCACACGCATAGTGCGGAGTTTCGTGAGTAACAATTGCTAACGTTGTTTTTTATCGTAAACATTGTATTTTAATTCTTTGTCAAGTTTTGCATTCAAACAATACAAAAATAATATCTTACTAAATAATGGCAAAAAATTGCACATACATACACATTTGACTAGAACATTTATATGTTTACTAACATTTATATGTCTTTTAAATTACAGATATTCTCGACGATAGTTTTGGAAGCACTTACATTTATTCTGTATATGTTATCAGTATTAGTGCAATTTTTAATTTTGTGTCTTTATGTGTACTTTTTATTTAACATTGTATGTAGACGACACGTCGTCTACATATAAGATTAAATAAAAGTACCAATGTTAATGTTATAATGTGACAACTTATATGTATCAATAATAATAGAACTGAGAACAATAAAATAGCTACGTAACAAAATAGCAACTGTTTATAAGAATGTGTAATATAAATAAAATTGTTCATTACTACAATTTAGAATATTTTTACCTCGTCAATATATTGTAATTTCTAGATTTGGAAATTACAATAATTTTATGAGAAAAAGTTATTCTTACTCGAAATATTATAACTTTTTCAGTAAATTTTATCAATAAAATATCTCATTTGATATAAATGTTATTATTAAGTTTACTGTAAATTTAAATATAAAATCTAAAAATGCAGTAATTAAGTTCTTTTATTTAAATAAAATTATTGATCTAAATATATACATATATAAAATACAGGGCCGGATGTACGATTTTGTGGCCCCTAAGCTATGATCTTAAGAAGGCCCCCTCTTATTAACAAAAAATACATTTTTTAAAATCTTTTCTATACTAAAGAGGCCCCCTTATAATGTGAGGTTCCTAAGCTGTAGCTTATCTAGCTTATGTGTAGATCCGGCACTGATAAAATAACTCCATATTTGTTAAAAAACTTGTTTGTAAAAGATTTTATATGTATTACACTTTATAATACATATAATGAACAATATCTATATTTATATAAAATATTCGTAACAAACTATTTGATCAAATAAACACAACTATTCGGTAAAATAAAATAAACATATTAATAAAATTATGTTCTTTCTGTGATAATATTTCTAAAATATCTATAAATGATAGAAAATAGACTTACTGTAATTATTGACCAATCCGATTATAATCCACTATAATTTTTTAACAAGCATATTTGGAAACCATTTTGTAGATAATATTTAACATCCATCCATCGCGAATTCATCCGTCGTTTCTTTTTGATGAAGCATGTAACAGACAACATTAAACTGAAGCTTCTTCGCAATTTGTCACTCTGCAATGTTGAATAAAATGCTATAAGATAATCGCTTTTGCAGGGTAGGGACAGGGGAACTTATAGTCATGTCTTCCCCTCCATAAACAGTATTAATACAGTCGTGGCATATTTAAACTTATATTGTCGCGTATTGTCGAGACAATTATTTGTACGTTTCATTATACTTCTTTACAATAGATTACAATGGCTCTGTTAATAATAGCTAATCTACCACGCATCTATTCGACCATTGTAAAACAAATAATAATTGTGATAAAGAAAGACCAATGTCACTATTTGTGACAATGTGTATTGCAATTGAAACTATAAAAACGTAAGAATTAAGAGGTAAAGCAAATTACTCGAAATTAATAGTCGCCTACAGGCAAATTCAAATTAGAATATTCCGTATGTTCTTTTCGACAAGAGAATGTAATAATAAAAATGTTAAACGACGATAAATATACAGTAAATATGCATGTCTCTGTTTAATAACAAAATGTGTGTTTCATTTAATGCGAGCGAACTCGGGCAACGGTAATTGTAGCTGAATAAATTTTGTCAGCTAAGAAGAGTGAATAGTTAGTTTAGAAATAAATATTACCTATGTCACGCGCGTAAAAAAACATTAAAACTGATTTCTGAAAGCTATAAAATATTTAATATAAAAAGGTGTGATCTTTACGATGGATTTCCAAAACGTAAATCTTCTGAATGTTCGATTAAATATGCTCTCAGGCAATTTGTTACCGATGACTAGCGACGACTCGCTGTTTCCTGTAGCTTGGAGGATATACAGCGCCGTTATATGGCTGATTGAAGTGGTACAAACCAGTGCAATAATCCCCGGTATTATGTTGGTTCCAATAGACAAGGCTTTACAAGATGCAACTGTCGGCCTTGTGGTCACCGTGGAAGTATTTTTCCTGCTCAAGCAAATGCACGGGCACAGAAATCTTGTAACTCAGCTGATTCGAAAGCTCAATAATATTCTGCGCATTGAGAACAAGACTATGAGAGACGTCGTGAGGTCAACTTTAAAGCCGGTGGAAATTCCTCTTAAGTTTTATTGCATGGCTGGGACCGGATCCATAATAGTGTGGTGCTGCATACCTTTCGCGTTAGTTTTGAAAAAGAGATACTTTTTCTATGAGGATTACAGGCTACCAATGATCCTGTCGAATGAACCATTTTCGACGGAGATCTTTCTGGTTGGAAGCTTTCTCGCGTCTATCGCCAGCGTGTACATGTTTATGAAGAAAGTTGCCCTGGATGTCTACATGATAAATCTCGTATTACTCATGACAGCGCAGTATCGTTACATCGCGATCAAGCTCGCAGCAATATTTCGCGAAGACACTTCGCAGAATCAGCACAATGAATCTCAACAGGAATATTATTTGAATTTAGATTTAGTGGCAACGAGAGAGATGAAAGTGTTATGTCGACACTATAGCGCTGTGGTTCAGTAAGTAATCGGTGAGCATTTGCTAACTTTGCAACTTGCTATTTTGCGCATTTGTCAATTTTTCTAAATTATTATTTTTTTAAAGTACTTTTTCTTCATTTATATTTTTCCATTATTTAATAGCTAAATATCTTGCATTATATGTTTCTTTTTCAGGATGACAGTAATGTTAAAAAAATTGCTGTCTTCGAACATGAGTCTAATTTATTTGACCAATGTTTTTCTTTTTTGCTTTCTTGACGTTATGCTTATAAGTGCAGTAAGTAATAATTTTGGAATAAAAATTCTTGAGTAACTATTTTATGAAATGTTTTTCTACAAAATCAGAGATAAGACTATTTCAGTGTCATGGAATTATCGTAAACATTTCGAAATATGAATATATAATGAGGTATATTGCATATTATAAAAATACGTATTAAATTTAGATATTATCGAAGGCGCCGTTAGAAGGACTTATGATTATCATGTACATATCCGGCGGTTTAGTGCAGCTCTATATTTTATGCTCATGCGTTCATCAATTATTAGATGCGGTAAGTTTTATTAATTATTTTATAATTATAACATTAAGATATAAAAATTAATTATTTTTAAATCGTAAGAGTGACCAAAAATATTGAGAGAAAAAATATAAGAGAGAAAACTATATAATAATTAATTAATAATGTATAAGGGAGAAAATTATAGGTAACTTAATATACATAATATGATTAATAATTACATACATTTTCTTATGCATTATTATTTTGTGTCAAAGTTAGAGTACAAAAATAACAAACAAAGCATTTCACGAAAAGTGGTATCAGTATGGATCGTCGCTGAAATATTCGTTTATGATGATGATAACAGCAAATCATTTAGAGTGCAAACTTTCGTCATCTGAAAGGTATAATTTGTCTCTCCCTTCATTTATGACGGTAAGAATTAATGTATTACAAACATGTATTTTTGGATACAATGTTAGTAAATTATATTGTGCTACTTTAAATAACTATTACACAATTTTGATATTAATGCTATTAGCATTTTAATTTTGTTTCTTTTTTCAAAATTTTTAAATATTTTTTTAGATTCTGAATCAATCTTATTCATTTGCTCTTCTGTTCCTAAAGATGAAGTAAAAATTTACAAGGTATATTTTCCGCTGATATTTAGTATTTTATGTACATATATCTTTTGCATATTTCTCATTAATAAAACAATAATAATTGAATAAACTATTTAGTTATGCAACTAAAATGTATAATTCTTGTTTTAGAATTTATTATCAAGGATATCAAGATATAAATATTTTATTACAATTTATAATTAAAAGTTTAGATACTAATTGTATAATATATATGTTCGAATATTGCGCCGAGAAGAAATAAAAATATAGATTGGTAACAATATACAATTTAAAATTCATTACTTTTTTATTTTGCATTAAAAGAACTATAATTATGTATTTAAATATTTGTTTTATGTTTTTATAAATTTGAGGCGTTAGTTTAATAAATCTATTCCTTCGTAACAACAGATAATTAAAACACATATCTTGAAATTGTTTCGTTGGCCTAACAACTACACTTTGTAACAAGTTCGTTGGTAAAAATCTTTTTTAAGATTGCTTTTATGTTGTCTGTTCCATTTATACCATCAATACGTTTGACAAATATAATCTGAAATTATTTTTTAATTTTTTAAACAATAAAGCATTTGCAGTTATATAGATAATATATTCAAAGAACATACAAATACTTTTTCAATATTTTTGTCCTCCATAGACTGATCAAAATGAATTAATTGATCAATTATTTTTATAAGCAATTGATCTTGTATTATTTCTACTCGTTTGTCGCAACCATTTTTTTTATTGTTTTATTTTCCAAACAGCCGGATATCAATACTTTCATCGTTTTCGATGTGCATATCACTTATAGTTTCGAAATTACTGCAATTGTTTTCGTATGTCGTATCTTTATTACCCTCACTTTCATATTCAGTATCATTATTATTAATATTTTTAGGATTCGATATGAAAGCGGTATTACTAAAATTCGTCAATTTATCGTCAATTTAGCGTCAATTTATTCGTCAATACATTTATATTTGATTCACTGACGAGAGTCGCTGTCCGCGCGTATCGCGACTCTCGTCGCGCGACCAAACTTTTCGGTGCCGTGCGAAACTCATCGCTGGCACGCCTACAGCTACATCGTACAATCTAGCCGCGCAAAAGGCGCGCTTATTTGCCCATTTTTTAAAATTAATACTTAAATAATTATTGCGAGAATTGCAAAATGGTAAAGAACTTTTCTGTTCTGTTTAATGTGATCTATCTACTCACGAGCGTTGGTCCGTGAGTTATCGAACACCCTATATCAGTTACTAATACCATGTCGTTTCACGGATAATGATACGTAGAATAGATGATAGTAGTATATAATTATGTATTTTTTATTAAATGCTTTTTTTTTATATATGCTATTTTTATAATATGAGATATATTAGGCAGAAGCGTATCATATACATAAATAGGTAACATATGATACTTTCCTAATAATTTCTAGTTATGTAATAAAAAAAATTAATTACATGTGCGTTTGTTGAGTTGAAATTTTATCGTGTCCCACTGTTAAACTGCATACTAAGCAATATTTCGCGCAACTGTGGTCTGTTCGCAACTGACAATTCCGTGGGGAAGCGTGATCAACAAAGCACCATAAGATAATTATCCCTTTACAATATGCAGTAGTAGAAAGAAAAACAATAATCCTATTTCCTCCTAGTACAAACAATATGACAATAAGGCTAATTACATGACAGCGCATTTTGTGACAATGCAAATCATATATTAACTCAAAATTCAACAGAAACAATTGCGGAAAATTTATGGTATTTCGTTTATCGCTTTAATTTCAAATTCTAATGAAATTACTGTGCTGCTCTGAATAGTAAATCAAGATAAATAATGAATTGCGGAGAGTCGGCTGTCTTTTCAATAATTACAGCATTATAAGAGAGAAAAATTTTAAGCAAAGTAAACAGAGAGTTGCACAATTTTGACTGATCGCGTAAGGACAAGCATGGACTTCCAAAGCGTGAATCCGTTAAATGTACGACTTAACTTGCTTTCGGGTAATCTATTACCGATGAATGAACACGACACATCATTTTCGTTATTCTGGAACATATATAGTGCCTTTATATGGATGACTCAACTAATCATAGCAATTGCGTTAATACCTGGATGCATCTATGTGCCAATAGAAAAAACTCTGAAGGATGGCATAATCTGCCTTATAATTTTTATAGAAATGTCTTTTCTGGTAACACGGATGCACGCTTCCAAGAATTTATTACGTCAATTGATTGAGAAGCTAAATAATATTTTGTACGTTGCCGATGAAATAATGAAGAGCATCGTGATAACGACTTTGAAGTCGGTACAGACTCCACTCAATTTCTATCTGTCTGGCGCGCTGGCGATAATAGGTTGGACTTGTATGCCACTCTCATTGATATTCAAAAAGGATTTTTTCTACTATGAGGATTACAGAATTCCTGCTGTCTTCTCCAGACAACCGTTTTCATTAAGTATTTTTTTGCTGGGAAGCTTTTTTTTGATGATCAGCGCTACTTATATGTTTTTAATGAAAGTTGGTGTGGACGTGTACATGATACATATGATATTGATGACCACGGCTCAGTATCGATATATTACGATAAAATATGCGATGATATTTCAAGGAGAAAATGAAGACAGTGAACAAACATATTCGGCTGAAGTTAAGCAAAGGAAAGAGAAAGAGATAAGAGCGTTGTGTCGGCATCACAACGCTCTAATTGAGTAAGTATCTCAAATTTTTTATTTCTTAGTTATTTTGTGGCTATATATTGTGACTACTCAATGTTTAACTAATTAGTGTTTATCCAAAAAAATTATTAAGTTAAAATGTTTCAAGTTCTTGTTCTGTAACATGTGTAAAACATGTGTAAAATTTTTTAATATAATTTTTATTGTATTATTTTATAAATATTTTAGGAATATGCTTTTTTTACAGTATAACTTCATTGTTAAAACAAATACTATCGTTAAATTTTAGTCTAATATACATAAACAGCGTCTTTCGTTTCTGCTTTATTGGTATCATGTTGAGTACTGTAAGTAGCAATTATTTAAAATTTCTTTGATATTGTGTTTTAATTTTTGTCTGGAAATTATTTTTGTTTTTACATAGCACAAAAATCATAGTGCTTATGTATTATGACAAATATTTATTGATTATAATGTTATTGATCTTTACATACGTTTTAAACTTTAGATACCTTCGACGACATTTTGGGAAGGAATTTTAATTATTATGTACGCGTTGGGAGCAGTAGTGCAACTCTATATTTTGTGCTCCTGTGTGCAGCAATTACTAGATGCGGTAAGCTTTATTACAATATAATTTTTGTTATTTCCTGTTTTACTTCATTTCTTTTTAATTTATTTGTTATAAAATCTAAAAATGTTTAAATCACTACGAGATTGATCTTTGATGTACATATGATATTCCTAATACACTGTCATAACTTTTTTTTTCTTTGGTAAAAATAACAATAACGTAAATTAACTTTAAAATAGTTTATTAACGGCTAGTATGAATAATCCTATTAGTATATTAATCAGTTAAAAAAATTACTACAAAGTATATATGTGATTATTTATAATGTAAAATTATTCTAACAGAATAATTAGTATTAATTTTATACGAAAAAATGTTTGCTTTTATGAATTTTTCTAATAATACTCTTAAATTATGAATACTTATTAAATGAATGAATACTTATTAAAAATTTATGTTTTTCTTGTATGATATTTAGAGCACGGAAATAACAGATAAGGCATTTCATGAGCAATGGTATCAACAAACATCATCGATAAAACATATTTTTATGTTAATAATCTTGGCTAATAATTTAGAATGCAAACTTGCAAGGTTGGAAAATTTTAATCTTTCTCTACCTTCATTC